GGGGGGGGGGGGGGGGGGGGTGAAGGCATCTGAGATGCCAGCATACAGTGAATCAATAGGGGACCTCGTACAGAAGTTCAATTCCCTGGTTTAACCTAAATTGATGAAGTCTGAGTGCACATCAATCCAGGTCTATCTTAAACCAGGTTCCACCATTTTAAAATTAGACTATGTGCACCAAACTTCTGTACTGTTACAGGTTTAGACTGGTTTCCAAGCACTTATACCAGTAAAAGTGTAATGTCTGTACCTGTCCCTGGTGTTTACCAGAGCAACAGTCCCCTTAGAAAAACTGGAGAGAATATATATACATATATACTCCAAAAGCACTCTACTCAGGCAAATGCCTTTGTTGTCTGGCTGCTTCAATTTTTCCTGTGGAGTCATTACTGAGAAGACAGATTATATTTGTAAGCTGACTGCATGCACTTATGTCAAAAAGCCACAATAATGTAGGCACTTAAAAAAATTACAGCAGGTAAAGAAATCAGTTGCTAAGAATTTATTAAAGTTTGTCAGGTAGCAGTTTTGTAACAATCTTCATGGCTTCAGTCTACCAGTCTGCCAATAGCTGGGGGAGTATGGCTCATGTTCTTCCAAGATCATGGGAGAACAGGAAGAGACAGACAGATCAGCATCCTCTCTGTTCTGTTTGCCCCACCACTGGCAGCACAAATAGGGCACTAAACTGCTGAAGTTTGTTTTAGGATGAGTGCACGCTGGGTGTAAAGCTAGTTCTTAAACAATTGCCACCTAAATGTGCATGCAGAGACCTGCCAAAGGTGCAGGTAATACAGTTTCTAGCAAAACCTCAGGGTGACTCTGTGTTTCCTGCACCAGATATAATGCAGGACTAAACACAAACCAGCAGAACATATCCTTGAAGTCCTCTCTTCTCTGCAGACATGTGATGCAGCAACAATTCTGACCCAAAATGAAATGCAAATTGGGCTTGTCAGGTAAACACAAAACATTTAGTTCAGTTCCTACAACTGGTGGACGCTGCCATTTGAGAATATTACAAGTCACAATTCAGACTTATTTACTGCAAGCACTACGCAAATCTAATCTTTGCCTGCTTTCCAGATGCAAATTTTCAATTTTTTCACTTTGGAGGCATACAATTGATCCCAAGACCTTTCACACTCGACTCTGCAAAATTATACCAAAATATAATGGCCTTATTGTAAAACAAAAAACAAACATCCCTCTCCCCCATTAAATAACATGTATGTATTTATTTAATCTCATCTTAAAGAAGTACTTACAGTTTAGATAATAATAAGATTTTGAAAGAGAACTGCATTAATCATGAATTTAACAGGCATCTTCACTAAAACTCTGGTAAATTTCATAATCAGAAAGGATGGACAGGCAAAAACAAATCATTTTTAATAATAACATACTTTACAGTTAGATCTCTGGCTAAGAGCCAAGAGCTCCTGAATTCCTAGCCTGGTTCTGCCACTGAGTTGCTACGTGGCAGTAGGCAACGCCTAAGTTTCAAATTTTTGATGCTTTAATTATAGAGGAAGTCAGCTTTGGACATCTAGTAGCTGCTTGGCTGCTGCTAGGAGAGAGGCTAAGACAGAAATAAAATTTAAAACAACAAAAGAAAAGCAGGACAATTTTAACAGACACACAGAGACTTCTGGGGAGGCTTGGGGGTGGCAGGGAATCATTAGAATCTACAAAGCTGAGAATTATGCATTGGTGGGTATCTGTGTCTGGCCTATATATAATGCATCTTATAGCAAGCAGCAGAGCACTACAACAGCAATTGCCATGTCTTGCCAATTGGGCAGAAATGTTTTATTTCACACATCATTTACAACTTGGTGCCCAGATCCAAAAAAGTCAGCAGGCTTCAAAACAGGTAATGAGAAAGAAAGTATTGTTGCTTATACTTGAAAGTTGTATAGCTTTGTGGGTCAGATGCACAGGGTACATGGTCATACTAGACATTGTGTGCCAAGGATTTCAATTATCTTCCCCATTCAACTGAATGCAGCAAAGCTATTTCTCTTTAAATTAGTAAATAATAAGGAAAAGGGAAAAAGAAAAATACTGTGGATCTGACATTTTGGACTGACAAAAGATAGTTATCCTCAGCACTGATTTCATTCAGTATCTCTAATTCTGTTGGTCTCACTTGTCATGCCAGGACATAGAGTAGCAACAGCCCCTTAAACAAATAGGTCTGCAGTTATTTAAAACTCAAAAACACTAAAACCTTAAGTTTACAAACCCTGCTACCACCTTTCTCCTGGCTAAGATGGGGAGGCTAGCCCTAGTTAAAGCAGGTTCTCTCAACTCAATCCTACTTTGTCTTTGCCCACTGCAGACTCAAGATATGTCCATCCTATAAAAAAACACAAGGGAATGTATCTGTACTACATATTCTGGGGAAAAAATGTACTATTGCCAGCTGTGTTAGTTACATGTCACACCAATTAGCACACACAGTGGCTGCAGGAGTCCTTGTCTAATTTATTTTCAGATGCAAAAAGCAACCTAAACATTTTTACTTTGAAAGTACATGAGTAGTGGAGCCTAGATGAAGTGAAGTGTTACTGGAAGTCCATTTTTCTGGCTTCTTATAAACTGGTTAACATTTAACTTATTAAGCCTAAAACTGAAGCAGGGATTTTACCTCAAGACCTGCAAAGATCACCAAAATGGGACAGCAGAACATACAAAACCAATGGCAACACTTGTGGAGAGTATGCCTTACCAAAAAAAAAATATTCTGGGCTGTATAATTTATCCTAGGCACCATTAGCCTAGATCATGACAGTAATACACATTTTTCACCAAATGAATCAACATAACTTTTTAAAAACAATGAAAAGCATGAAAATCTTCTGAGTAAAAATACCATCTCTTCCTTGTAGAAACAGCTTAAGATAGCCTTTAAAATAACCACAGGGCAAGGAAGCAGAAAGTCAAAGATTAAAAGAACCCAGCTGCACATGCAATGTTTAAGGGAAGGAGGAAAGGATGAAGCAACAACAGGATGGAAGGATGGTCAGGAGAGATTTAAGAGTCACCTTCCCAAAACCAATGGGGCTAAGAAACTTTTGGAAATGACTACAGTCTTAAACAAGATGGATACCATAGGACAATGGGAGCCAATCTTTCTGAAAAGTGTGCCTGAATGCAAGGACTGCACCTTCCTCGAGTTCCATTCCAATCCCCCATCCAACCTACTGCTCTGCTTTCTGCTCCCTGGCCAATCTGTTGTTTCTACTATCTATTCTCTGTCCCATGCTCCCTGCCTAATCTGCTGCTTAGTTTTCTGCTCCCTCCTCAATCTGTCATGTGCCACTGATTGGCTGTTCCACCATAGGAGATGGTGACTCAAAATTATACAGCCACTAGAATATCAGACTTTTTACACTCATCGCTATTCGTCTTACTCCTTAACACTTACATTGATTACATTGGTAAAGTAATGATCAAGCATTCATTAATAGAAACAGAAATTTCTTATGGCAAATAAATGCTGTATACATTCTGAGTCATATCAAGGCCCTAACTAGTCAAGTTTAATAAGGTGCTAGTGGAATTGCAACTTTTTTTCTTAACCAAGGCTAAATTCAAATTTGCCATGCTAAGCAGCTAAAAGCAAGTCAACAATATTACTTTACAAGAAAATCTTTCCCACGTTAATTAATTCTAGCTCTTTTTATATATTAGGCTGAACAAATGAACAAATGCAATTGCATTTTTGGTCCATAAGAGCTGATATGGAAACATTTCCATTAGTTGTTTGGAACATTCAGTTTTCCGATCTACGTAAATGTAGGGGAAAAAGTAAAGTGCACACCCTGAAACAGTTTGGCAGTAGAAACAGATTACCTACATCCTCTAGCGTTAAACAAATTTCCTCCACATGCACACCTCATGATATCACTATGATACTGTAACTACAAAATGCAGTCAGCACCTGCTAAACAACCTCTTTATTTTAATCACCTATAAATATTCAAAACTTTTTCACAAATCAATGATGCATATCCTTTTAATAGCTGTCAACAAGGATGGAATGAGTCTTACAGTACACTAAATAAAACATGCAAAACATTACACATATAGTCAGAAAGACTTATTTGCTGCAACAGTGAGGAATTCTGGAGGCATCAATTCAACAGCAAAACTGCCAAATTCCAACTTGCAGGATATTCACAGAACAAAAATGCACTCTGCATCTTGGTCACCAAAATCTCAATAAAAACAGTGAATCTTGACACCTCAAATCTCAGTTCACCTATCCTGGTGAACTGCCAAACACCAGAAGAATTATATATACGCTTATTTAATACAAACTCATCTTTTGTTCCCGAGTGTGTTTTCATCATAGCAAAACAAGAAGTTTGTTTTCTAAAGAATGATTTTTTAGAGAGCTACCTTAGCCCAGTATCAAAACATGTCGTAGGGTGTCTTACTATTTATACTCAAGCAGATAACATACTAGTTCTTATTTAAAACTTAGGGAAATAACAGAAATTCATTTCAGTCTATCATCATCAATAGTTTCAAATTCTTGACAGGAAACACAAGGTAAATATTTCTTTCACTGAAACTTTAACTATGAACATTTATATTGTTAAATTTAAAGCTCTGTCCACAGAGATGCTTATGTTTCTTTCTGCTTTCAGCCAAATAAAGCATAAATGTCTCAAGCCTACCCCAAGCATAGTGGCTAGATTTTAGCCACTTACAGAGAAACTATCCAACCTAGCAGACACAGATGCCAGTCACTCCACAAAGAGAAGCAGCTACCTTAGACCCAAGAGAAGTCAAAAGGCTAAAGGATCTTTGTAACAGCAGATCCACTGGCTTCTCTCCCATGAAGGTGTTATCTCCTTCGGAATTCATTGCCAAACAAGGGGTTTATTTACTCCGGAATTTATCTTGCTCTTGTTTGTGTAATGACTCCACATCACCTCCACTGCTAGGAACCCTGTGTAGACAAAAATAAACTATTTTTCCTAGAGTGACATCCTATACAAGAAAAAACGGTCTTCAACTTTAGTGATGGGGAGGAGGGGAGGGGGGATCTTTTAAGTAATCCGCTCTAATTTCCTTTCAATTAAGATAGTAATAATGACAAAAATATCATGAAGGAGAGGCACTATACTCAGAAATACCTGAAATACCTAAAATACCACAATTACTTTCCCAAAACTGAATCTCAGATTGCACTGCGCAGCATCTACAGGCAACCATATAGACCTGGGGTGAGCAAAATAAGTCCTGCAAGCTAGATCCGACTCACCAACTGATTGCACCTTGCCTGCAGGTTGGCAGCTGCAAAGTCATAGGATCTGTCCTGTGGGGAGCCAGCAGCTCCAGCTGCTGTGTCGTGTTGGGTAGGCGGGCACATCTCAGCCCCAGCCCCAGCTTACACCAGCTCCTGCTGTGTGCTAGAAGCAGCAGTGGGTGCATGCCAGCATCAACTGTGGCTCCTGCTGGGCATTGGGGCAACTGCCTGGGACTGCAGCTGATGTGCTGATGCAGTAGTGTAACCTGTGGACCCAGGTGGACACCCTGATCCCCAGCGGGAACCAGCTGGCTATGTCCACAGCTAATTCCAATATCCACATGGTGCTGGACACTGGGATACTAATCACACTGGCAGTGGAACAGACAGCCCTGAAAGAGGAAGGATGGATGCAAAAAGCATGACTTAAAATGCAGGCCAATACGATCCCTCCTCTCTTGATCCATCCTACATGTTCTTCCCAGGTCCAAGAGGAGAACAGGTTCCATGCAGCTGCTGCTCTCCCCTACAGGCATGTGGGCAAATCCTAAGCACTGATAATACCAGGAGCAGAAAATGTGCTACATTCTGTGAGGGGCTGCAATAAGTTATTTTCCCAAGGGACACAAAGTGGAACTGGGGAAAGAAAAATTCCATCCAAGAGTCACGATTCCTTCTGGCAACTGTTCCTAGGATGTTGTGACCTACTACCAGACCTTCCCTAGGGCTTGGGAGCAAAGGCTCAACCTGTCCCTAACCATAACATTTTGTTTTTAAAGAAATTAATTTGGGTCAGGTGTATTCTGTATTGCAATATTTTCCATGAAATAAAATAAATACTAATCATTGTGAATTCCAGCAATATAAGTGTATTATTTTTGTTAAAACACTTTAAAACACACTAGCTAAACTTAAACTTTGCAAGTATAGAGGGCTACAAGTTGATGGAATTACAATGATTTTTACTAGCTAAAAAAAATTAAAATAAAACAGTTACCACTAACTAAATAATGATGAATGGGGCATTCTTGATATTTTACTCTCTGGAAGGATTTGATAAGCTTGAGCACCACAGTAAAGATGGTATACTTTACTGTGAGAGCTATTAAGGAGCTACCCCTAGGAAATGAATGATACTGCAAATTGTGGACAAGCTGGCTTTCATAGGGCCATTAAAGACGTGTCATTTTCAAGTTGATGCCACTACTTGCACCTCCTGTAACAATTATTCTCAATTTCTTTTCATCTGTCCCATAAAAAATGATTGCTTGTGCTTTACTTAATCCTCCACTTACATCTACTCTATTGTTCGTCTCTTTCCCTTTCATCTTCTCCACATTAATTCCCCACATTGCTTTTGATCTAGCTTTTTGTTTCCTTTTTCCCCCTACAGATTCTTCCTGATGAAGAATTTGCAGCCGTAATGTTGGATCTAATGTGCAGGGTGATATTTTATTGATTCACTACCCCACACCTATTAGTTTTGTACAATGAATAACATTATACAATCATCACAAGACTGGTTGTCTCTGTCTGAATCTTGGATTTAAAAAAATGATTCCACTAAAGTTTAAAAAAATGTTCCACTCTATAGGTAAATATTCATCTTTAAAATATAATTAAAGGAGCACATGCAAACAACTACCAGGAAAAACAAACATTTATTCTTAACAACCTAGAAAACTGTTCTTTGCCATAGTAACACTTACTGGCAAGTTCAGTTAATAGAATAATTGTAACTTTCACTGCTGCTAAATAAAAAACATAAAACTTGTCTGGAAACTGTAATAAATGTCCACAGAAATAAACTTGACTACATTATTTATGTCCTTGCAGGAAGGATGATATTGGTAGGATCAGAAAGTCTTATCTTTGCTGATAAAATCTAACAGTTACAAAAACTGGTATTTGTGTCTACTCAAATAGGTTAAAACCTGTTCAGAAGTTCCAGAAAGAACTTCTAGTTTAAAAGGCCTTTTTTAAGTTTAGCTAATTTTAATATTATGATTTATCACTATTTTAAAGCATTCAATATTCATTTCACACAATTTTAATAAAACATACACATCTTGAACAAGCAAACATAAAAGAAAAAGGAGGCCAGAGGTTTTATGTTATGTATCTTAAACTAACAACATTAAGTAAACTAATTATTTTAAATAGCAGTGGTTTTTGCCTAAAGAAATAAATAAACACTACACAACACAATTGAATCAATCTTTAGTCTCGATCCTGAACAAGAGTAAAACAAATCTCCAAAGTCAACAACCTTGGAAATGATAGTTTTACTTACTGTAAGTCTACAATCCAAGTTATATCAAACTTCTAATCTATAGCATATGCATTGTCAACTCACAAGCATAAGTAATATCCAATAGCTGTTTGCCTTTCCAGATGATATATAGACCATGAGGACTATGTCAGCAGAAACCTACTTGTACAAATCATCAGGTTAAAAAATACAGTCTTGCAACTCCAGATATTCTTAGTTTGGTACTGTACAAAACCTTGACAAGGTCTAAAAAATATACTGACTGCTTTAATATATGCATGTGTTCTACAACCACTGTTGTTTACACAATAAAAAAGTTTCCACTAGTTTGAAAGAGATTACTAATTTTAGCAGTGCTTTCTAAAATAAGTGCAAAACCAGAAAATCTGAAGTGTAACTAAATATGTATCTTTATGCATTATATAGATACTTTTATCATTCACTTGATTTTCAAAAGTGGAAATTTAAAAAATCTAGTTTTCAAAAATAATCTGCATAAATTAAGTACTACACACAATACTTCCACTGCAAACATGAGAAATATATGCTTTAATATAACAGTGGTTTCAACATCTTTAATTTATTATAAACCTCCATAAATAACTAGACTGATTACAGAACAATTACCAATACATCAAATAATTTTAAAAGACCTTGGTTGTCTTTCACTGTATACAGTAATAGACTGTGGTGTAACCAAGCATAAGCATGTCCAAAGTTAACACAGAAACTAGATTTAGTTTCACAATGGGACACAGCAGCACAGCTCCCACACTAGAATCCTGGGTTAGGCACCTGAATTTACCACGTTATTGACTGAGGAGATTTTGGGGCCAAAGATATCCACAAAACTCAACAGGCTGAGTGGAGAGCCACCTCTTTTACCTAGTAAGAAATGTTGAAGAGAGGGGTATATCCCAGTTCTTCTTCACAGACCTCTCCCTGCATCAAATCAAGCATTTTAGAAATGGAAGACCAACTTCTATTCCCACAAAAGGTCCCTGCTCACCAGGCTATATGTTGGTCTGGATGGAGGTATTTCTACACCCTCCTGATGAAGCTGAGGCACTGTACAGCAAAGGATAGTATATTCATAGGACTTCAGAGAGCACAAGAGGAAGGAAGCATGACTCTCTAGGCTAGTAATGAGAGACTCACCTGGGAGAGGGTAGTTTCAAGGCTGTGGTCCATGCTTGCAGGACTGCTTTTGGATTTTGCATTAAATAGTTATTGGATAAAATGCAAAAACAATTCTGGAGCATGGACCGAAGCTATTATCTCCGCAATCTCAAGTAACAGACATCATTACTGAACTAGACATGCAACTAGACAATTTCCTCTTGTGCTTCCACTCCATCCAGCACTGTAACTGCACCTTTGTTCCTGCAAAGTGGCACGGCTTTATCAGAGCAGCATAGAGTACCCCCATCCCTGGCTAGCCTATGATTGGCAGGGAAATGGAAGGTAAGAGATGTGGATGTGAACACTCTCCTGCTAAAGAATGCACTCAACTCACAGTTCCCAGTTCTTGGGTGTTTGCTATAACCACTATGTTTCTAAAGTGGGCAGCAGCACTACTAGTTGCTTCTCCCTCCATGTTTTTAACAGAATTCACTGCAGCTGTCAGTATGTTAGTCTTAATGCTGTCAGCATGTGTTACTCATGGTCTGAGCATGATTATTGGACCGGCCCACCTAAAAACTTAAGCATAAGATGGGTGTCCAGGTGTCAGATACCCAGACCTGCTAAACTGGTAGCCGGAGGAGAATTCTCAGCTATTAGGAAACTTCAATGGTCAAAACTGGGCCATCTACAGCCTTTCACGTGATTAGATATGGAGTGTGAAGATTATTGGTTATTCATTATTTGTATTATAGTAGTGTCTGGAGGAAAAGCCCAATAGTGGTTAGACAATGAACAAATACATACACAAGACACAGTCCGTGTCCTAAAAAAAGCTTTAAATCTAAAAGATGAAAGTCAAATAACAACCGCAAATAGACAAGCAAAAGATAAGCAAAAGATAAAATGAGAGGATATGGGTTACCATATAACAAGCAGCGATCACAGCACATCTGCTGCCTAATCAGTGTTGAGTTTTTTTGCAGACATCATGATAGAAAATATTTTTATGAAGGAACTGAAGGGAGAGAAGCTGGCTTTGCAAATATTGATAAAGTAAGTATGGATATGGTGTCTGGCCAATCAGTGGGCGTTATAGTGGAAACATTTGGAACTTCTGGGTTTATTTAATAAGTTTTATAGTTTAAATACAGCTAAAAGAAAAAGAAGTGGGGAGGGAACCCCCTTCACTATAGAGATTAGGAGATGACAAGAGACCCAAACAGCTTTTGTTCTCCTCTGTACAGAAAAAAACTGTGCTTACCTAATTGCATCTGCTTTCAAAGCAAACATGTTCACCACTTCACAGTGCTGAGATTTTCCATTTCCTCAGCAACTGGGGGGCACACCCAAACTTGTCTGTTTGCAGACTAAAAGGTCTCATGTGTAGGAAGAATCAACCAGAAAGGGTGCTAAAAAAGCTGTAACTAACACCAAACAAGCTAAAACTGTACAGTGCATTTTTATAACTATACTGAAATAAGAGCCATCTCTTAGAAGACTATTAAAAATATTTTCCTCTACTCAGTGTTAAAAAAAAAAAAAAAAAAAAAAAAAAAAAATCAATAAACTAATTTAAATCACTCAACCAGATTTTGTTTTCAAAACAAAAGTTACACACATATACTCTGAAAACAGATTGAGTTAGGTAAGCACATTTTTCTATTTTCACAGGAAGCAGCAAAAGTCATTTGTGTCTACTGTCAATTCCTACTGTCAACAGCAAAGAGCTTTTACTTTTTATATAGCAGTAGTTTAAAAATACCTATCTAAAAAAATCTCAAATCAAGGAAGCCGTGAAGGTTTCCACTATAACATCTGTTGATTGGCAAAATAAAGATACACACCTACTTTTTCAATATACATATCAAATGCGTCTACCTACCTTTCTCAGGTAGGTGAAACAGCCCTCATTTGAGGAGCTTCCTTGTTGTAAGTAATCTGAGGCTAGATACAGACATACGGGAAGGTGAGGGGGAGGTCAGATAGTATTAGAAATGGCCACCCAATCTAACTTAGTTTGCCCAGGTGCTGCTCTTACACTTAAACAGATCTCCCCTCCCCCCCAACCCCACTTGCTCCCCAACCTGTACTGCAAACCCCACTAGCCCCCCAATCTCCCCCAATCCAAATTTATCTTAGGTGGCCATTTTTAACCCAGTCTAACCCAATTCAGACGTACAAATAGTGTAAGAAGCAGTATACGACTGGGGAATGAATGGCAGTGTTCAGCATTACGAGGAACTGGGCAATGCAATTTTTCAATGTGAAGGAATTTTAGGGTCATGTAAGCCTGGAGAACCCTTCCACCAAAGGAGCTATCAGTTCAGAGAATCACAGAAAGTTAGGGTTGGAAGGGACCTCAGGAGCCTGTCTAGTCCAACCACCTGCCCAAAGCAGGAATATCCCCAACTAGATCATCCCAGTCAAAGCCTTATAGTTTCTAGTTATCTAGCCAGGCCTTGAAAACCTCCAAGGATGGCAATTCTGCCACCTCTCTGAGTAACCTGTTCCAGTGCTTTACTACCCTCCCATGAGAGAGCTCTTCCTAATATCTAATTTAAACTTCTCATGTTGTAACTTGAGACGGTTGCTCCTTGTTCTGTCTGTTCCCCGAACACAACGTTTACTGGGTTTTATTTAAAATTTGGATATTTGATCATACTGTAGCTTAGCATATAGCAGGAAACAGAAACTGTTTCTGTCCATGTGGTGAATATTTTTCTGGCAGACTGAGTTTTGACACTTCTAAGATGGAGCCTTTGGCAGTGGTGACTTCTGAGAGGGAATTTCAGCTGACTCACTGGGGAAACGTTTGATGCCTTTTACACTTCTCAGCCTGAAGATACAAAACAGAGGAGGGTGTATCTTTAAAAATGCAGTAGTTCTTCTGAAACAGCACTCAATACCAGAAAAATCACAAAATAAATAGTTTAATATTATATCTCTCATCACATTTCTGCTGTTTTTCTTCTTCTCAGAGTACAGACAAAAGACCAAATTAAAATGCGACTTCTTTTAAGGAATGAAGACACAGTAATTTTGAAGAATTGCCATATGCCTTTACTAGATTTTTGGTTGTTCTGTTACTAACACTTATCATTTCAAAATTCATCTTAAACAATTGGTATGTGGAAAGAAATGTAAATTTTAGGCAACAGAGTGAGACTGAATGAAGAAGTCGGAAACTGGACGGTAATGGAAGTTTCAAGAATTTAATTTAGATTGAATAATGGCGGCCTGTCTTGATCTGACTGATTTAAAAAGTAGGCCAAAGGGTGTTATGCCTTACCTGATCTCTATTATTTTAGCCTGAATCATCATGCATTCCATGGTTAGAGGGCTGGCTGTCTCTATTTAAATAAACCACTGTTTAAAACTATCACAAATTTTACACGTGGAGTCACACGATGGCAAAAGCTAAAAATTGAAAGAAACTTGTGTTTTCCTCAGTTTGGCTCACTCTTCAGCCACATAGTCAGATACACTTTGGCGGAAGTACAACTGAGATATGTGCCTAAAACTGTTTCCCAGCCAGCGTGCCATGGCACAAAAGTGTGTCATCAGAAATGAACATGTCTGCCGTGGAATTTGGCCATGGCAGTGAACTACAATGAGCTACAATACGTATGAGGATGGGGAATGCCTTAACTGGTGTGCCACAGAAAAAATTTATTAATGTAAGTGTGCCTTGGGCTGGAAAAGTTTGGGAAACACTGGCCTAAAAGTTTCTTCTTACAAGCAGAGGAGGTAGAAGTATTGAAAGCCTCAAATTCAGGAGGCTGGAAATTCTTCCTGCTCAGTGAGGGGAGAATCTTGTGTCAAATCTAAAAGAGGATATAAGCCCTTTAAGTCAAATCAAGTAATGTTCCCTTTATGATCCAGCACAAACTATGTCCCCTGTGCAAGACTGCCTCCTGGTGAGATGCCCAACACCAAAAGCTGGTGGCTGTTTTATATATTCTTTGTCACGTCCTGCTGAAACCATAAAGAGAATTCCACTAAACTTGTTAAGAAAATTAGAAGAAAACCTTTTCTATTATTAAACATAACCCAACCTGGACAGAACCAATCTTTCCTCGCTCCTTGGATTCAAGCCATGTCCATGTGGTGAATATTTTTGAGGTGCTGAATATACACTGTTCACACCATGCACAAGTTCTTTACTATCATGTCACCTAGATGATGAGGAGTACTGACTCTGACATTAGGCAGCCTAATATGGTTTCCACACAAGCTGTTCTTGCTGTCATTTTGATGTTTT